GGGGGAGCGCGTGCGTCGCTGCGCCACGCATCCGCCAAGCCCTGAGGTTGCCTCCGCTTGCGCGCGCGTGCGCCGCAGCACACACCTGCATGGCGGGGCGGATGGTGGCGGCCGTGGTGTGCATTGCGCCGCTGACCATGCCGTCGGCGTCGCCAGTGGCGACCATCATCACGCCAAACGCGTTGCAGTCGCCCTTGACCTGCGAACGGAAGTGGAACGACCATACTGATGATGTTGGTTGAGTACAGCTGGCAGTCCTGCGGGCTTTGTGGATACTGTAGGTAGAAGAAGAAACCAAAATGGGGGTTCCAGTGCGCCCCAGTATTGCCGGCGTTGGGCTCAAAACGGTGCGGGTCGCCTGGTTCACACAGATCAGGTAGAGATCCCAGATCACGCAGATCACCCGGCCCCACCTGGTCCATGGCTGCCTCCCTGCTGATGCCCTTCTTGCGCCGCGCCTCCACCAGGGCGTCAACGTACTTGTCAAGGTTGGCCGCATTCTGAACACGTTTGGTGGGCGGGGAGGGGGTTGGGGCGGGCACGACGGGAGGTTTTGGAGGAGGGGCGGGAGGGGGGGCTGGTCGGGCGGCGTGAATCCGGGCTTGCTCGCGGCTCACAGCAACGAGGGACTCGCACCGGGCGGACGCGCGACCAAACGTGGGACGGCTGATTTGTGGCAGGGTGCGAGGTGCATGTCGACAAAACACAGCACGAACGCGCGCGCACGCACGCACACACACGCACACGCATGCACACGCACGCACGCGCGAGCGCGCGCACACACACACACACACACACACACACACACACACACACACACACACACACACACACAAACACACACACACAAACCCAGCCACCCCACCTGGGGGTCCACTATTGCGCAGCCGCTGATGTCAGCGCCGGCCTTCCTGGCCTCGTTCTCCACTGTGGCCGGGTCACCCAGCAGCACCACCTTGGCCAGGCCGCGGGACGTCACCTGAGTAATAGATTATGCAGGGGGTTGCACGGTGTGTAGGCTAGGGTGAATGGTGTGGACTTGAAATTGTCAGGGGATTGAATTGAGTGCAGGGTTGGATTGCATACAGGGTTTGGAGGTGGTGAGGACGATAAGTCCAGGGCTGCGACGCCACGAATGAGTAAAAGAGTACGATGATGCCGCAAGGGGTGCAGCAAACGCTCGCATCGCGTCGGGTTTGACGGAGCAGCAACGCATTGGCCAGAGTGTGCACGGGACGGGACGACACCCGACAATTCCAGGACTTTGATCGGGCCCGGCTGCGCGTGAATGCGTGAGAGACGTCGCTTTTCCCCATCTCACCGCGTCTGCGGCCAGCAGGACACGCGAGTCGGTGGCCTGGCCAGATGGGGGGCCGGGGGCAGGCGGGGGAGGACGTTTGACATCGCCAAGGGCACGAGCTTGCAAGGCGCGGCGCAGCCCGTACGGCACGCTGCTATGAGCACGCGCCGCGGGCAGCATGGGCCGGGGGAATGGGTTGTCACGATTCGAGCCTCCTCCGCTGGGGACGCGGCGCAACGATAATTCCACAAAAGCCCCAACGACGCCCCCCAATTACGGCGAGAGCCGTAGACGGGCCCCGATTCGCTGCGCCGGGCTGGGCGGTTTTGCTGCAGTTATGCTTTTCTGTTCTACAGCCGTCCCCAACTGGTGCCTGCACGCATGCGCCTATTGCAGGCTGAGGCCACCAAACGCCAGATGACCCCACCTCTGGCAGCACGATGGTCTGGGGGTTCCTGAGGCACATGGACTTGATCTGATAGGAGAACATCTTGGGGGTCACGCGGCCCGCATCAAGCAGCTCGCTGGCCTGGAGTACGGGGAGTTTGACCGAGGTTTGACCGGTGTTTGACCGACGTTTGACCGGGGGTTTGACCGGTTGGCCATCAGGAGCGCAGGTCGCGGCTCGCTCCGAGGACGTGGTTTCGGGGAAGGATTAAAATGTGGGGGAGGAGTGCACTCCTCAGCTGGACGAGCAGATGCTGTGGCTTCCTTGCGCCCGACCGGGTGGAGGTGGTTGTGACCCCAGCCTTTGCGTGCCCTGAAAGCGGACCCGCAGATCCCCCTCACCCCCTGCAGACCCCCTTTTCTCTCCCCCCCCTCCCCGCCCCCCACCTCGAGGTTCTGGACCAGCGTGTTGGCGTCGACGTGGGAATCAAACAGCATCTTGCACTGCGGTTTGGCGGGTCAGGGTGGGGGCAAGCAAGCAGTGCACCTGCGGTTGAGTCGTGTCAGCAGGGTGAGGAAGAATGCAAGGGGCGTCCTGCAAACTTGCCGAAAGTGGCTGTGCGCGAAAGATGCATGCAGAGCTCCACCCCGCGCCCCCCCAAAAGCTTCCTCAGGTCGCAGTAGTGAGGCTGCGATCAGGATCTAGATCTGGGCGCCGCCTGTGGCCCTTCGCCTTCACCTCCTGGATCTTGCGCTCTGATGACGGCAGTATGGCGCCCCTCAGGCTGTCCAGTGACCGCAAGACTTCGTACATCGGCCTGAGGGGTGCACATTGCCCGGTGGAGAGGGGTGGGGGTGGGGGGATGAAGGTGGAGACAGGGGTTGCGCAATGGAAGGTTAAAGGTCGGTGGGCTCGTTGTGGCAAATGGTGGGGGGTTTGGGCTGGGGGTGGAGGGAGGAGAGGTGGGGATGGGCTGGGAAGATTGGGGTGGGGGTGGGCTGGAATGAGTGGGGTGGGATTGGCAGTGCAGGGATGGGGTGGCTTGGGATGATAAAAGGCAACACACCCCAACCGCACCGCTGCCGTCAAGCCAGAAAATCCAACAAGTTAAGCGGCCGTCACTGCGTCCATCCCAGTCTCCCACCCCCCCAAAAAACACTGCTTGCGCCCTGGCACTGCAGCCGTAATCTCGGATTGACGACAGGCAGCCACAACCCCCTGCTC